TTTCCCAGTTGTCCAAACATAACATATTAGTGTACTCTCTCCCTCTCCCTCTGTTTCTCTCAATGTCTAACTCAATTTTATTTTTACGTATTTCAATGCAATATCAAATCAGTGTTAGCAATGTACTAATAATAATAACGACATAGAATGTTAAAATTAATTTTGTACTTCAAGTGTTGGTTTGCAGAGGGATTTGATTTGATTGGTTACAGGATTTCATCATGAACTGACATCGGTTGGTAAACCTCATTGGAAAACCACCAGGGAGTGCTGAACAGTCAGTTGTTTCGTCCTAGTGCTTGGGGGGATCCTTTGCCAGACTCACCCACCGTCAGGGCACCTTCAGGTTAAAACGCAATGGTCCCAATGGTTCTCTAACCGATGTCAGCTCATGATGAAAATCCTGTAACTAATCGAGTCGAATTCTTGCAAACCAACACTAGAATATCTATCTGATGCTCACTGGTTCTAGGGGGAAGTCGTGATCAGTGGGGTACAGTAGGTTGGGCGTGAGGATAGATATTCACCGATGATTGACATTGGCTAATGGTCATGTTGCATCATGAATGGGCAGAAGTTGGAGTTCATGGACTGGCCATTGGATAGGGTCCCAGTGGCTGTTTAATGGTCTGCGAGCTCGTCTTGTAGTCTGAAGGTCTTAGGTTTGAACCCTGGCGGTGGGAGGGTACTGCTGTTGAGGAGTCCCAAGCTAAGATGAAACAATTGTCCAGTAATTCGATGCTGGTTTTCAGACGGTTCTATAACTGATGTCAGCTCATGATGAATTCCTGTAATTTTATTTCATTGCTAATACAGTTAAATAGTACAATTCAAATTATTTTAGAATTTAATTGCAAACGAACATTTCATAACCACCTTACGACGAAGCATAGAACCAAAGCCATCAGATTATATTATTATTGAAATGTTTTTGCTGAAAGCTTGGTTAAAATCACTGGGCTCCCTAAATTACTATTCAGTATAATGCATCAACTTTCTCTGTATGCCTCATTTTCTTTTAATCCTTCAATTATGTCTTTGGATAACTCTACATGAACTCGTTCACATTTTTAAATTAGGCTTTGAACTTAATTCTGTGTACTTTTCGAAGGAATTAAGGGCGGAGGAAGCGATATCTAAAACCCTACTTTTTAAATGAAACAGGAATTAAGGTGGCATTTAAACCTACGAAATCACTCATAGACAAAGTCTGGAGGTTAAAGGACCCTGTTAATGCAATTAGACGAAAATAATGTAAGCCAACAAAATACTAGGCAATGACTGTGAGTAAAGTCAACTACATAGATTAGACCGAGTAGACCAAGGGTAGTATAGAATGACTGACCCAATGAGGACGAATAATTTAGAGAAAAAACTCGGCACTTGAAATGCATGCATTTACACAACAAGATGGCATACAGCTACAATCCTAAAAAGTAATATAGGCAGGTGGAGGGAGAAGTTGATTACTGAGTCTTTATTCATCGAACCTATACCTAATATAACGGTAGCAGCTAGCCTGTCACATCCTCTGATGGTGTTCTCGTGACTTTTATTGCCAGATCTGCAAAGGATAGTAGGCGACCTAATGGTTGTGTGTAAGATTTGAAGAAGGCTGTATGCTATATAAATGAGTCTCGCCCTGATAATGTTTGTACATCCGTGGTTCAGAGGCAGAATACTAGTCAAGCATGCCTCACGTAGTCTGAGCTTCAATCTACGACTAGCAATCCTAACCCGTAAAAGACACCAGTGCCAGAGAAACTCCAAAGCTCTAGCTTAAAGCCTTATGTTTCACTGGGAACGCAAAGGAATAACATAAACAATACCTAACATGTGTAATAAGAATGACTCAACACCAATACCAGATATATGGAAAATATGACTGCCAATCAAATTAAGAGATGAGATATAATGGAATTGCATAGATGAAGTTGACAAGTCATGACCAATGAATTGTGCTCAAAAGGTCATCAGTAAATAATGCTGTATAGTTTAGGTCAAATCGATTTACTCCATAGTGGAACAGAGAGAGAGAGACAGAGTGTGAGTGAGTGGATGAGTCATTACCCACTTCTCCTTGTCAGTATGCCTGTCATGATTACCAACAGAGAAGATAAAAGGGGGGGGGGACCGAGAGACTGATCGGTTTAAGCTGTGTTCACAATTGTATTATCTAAAGTTTATAATAACCTCTGATTAAACATTCAATTTTTTTACCAATCTCTTTATTTTGTTTATCTGCGCCTTTAACTTATCTATTCATTATTTATTGATTTGTTTTTACGAGTTTGATCACAGATTGATATCAGTTAGAGAACCATTGAAAACCAGCCACACGGCGTACTGGACAGCTGTTTCATCCCACTAGTTTGGGAATCATCAACAGTACGCACCCACTGTCAGCCAGGGCTCAAACCCACGACCTTCCGGTAACAAGGCAAGCTACCTCGTATACCATTCAGCCACTGGGACCCGATTCAATGGCCAGCCAGACCATGAATTCTAACTTCTAACAATTTGTGATTTAGCGCGACCACTAACCAACCATTCCCCACACTTGACTGGTTGGACATCACTGGGGTCATGACTTCTCACTAGAACTCACTGCAGGAAACTCCATACTGTAGCCAGTCACTCAATCAATAGCGAGCATCAGATTAATTTTCAACAGTTGGTTTGTAAGGATTAAATTTGTGCGTACTGCCGATGATTTCCCAAACTAGTGGGATGAAACAGCTGTCCAGAGTATGCCGTGTGGCTGGTTTGCAATGGTTCTCTAACTGATATCAATCCATGCGTGGTCAAACTCGTAAAAACAAATTTAATCCTTAAAAAACTAAATCTTGAAAATTTAATGACTTATTCATTATTAATCACTGGCCTTAATCAATTTTCTACGCATTTTCATGTCTCTTGTTTTGTTCTCTTAGTAATATATATATATATATATATATATATATATAATATTGTTTAGATTGAATTAGTGCACTCATCTATTGTATATATTTCTCTGTTTATCTCTGTCATCGTATTTTATCTACAGATTTCCGTTAACCTACTGTATGTTGAAATGAAAAGTAACAGAGACACAGAGTTCACATAGTTCTTTTTGTTTACTTATTAAATATACTTCATCTCTCTCTCTCTCACTATAGCTACATACATTTGATAGGGTCACATATATACGCTTGTTACAATATTAACAGAATATAAATGATGGCATGCAACTACCAGACAACAATAAATACACGCTACAGTTATTCATATTTAGAGCACGGTCAAACAGAAAAACTGAGTTACTTGAGGTCTATTATTTAATTAAGAAAGTATAGTGGTTATTTAGTTGACCTTGAACCAACCAATCAGATCGCTCAGCATTACAAATGGAGGCTTTTCATAATCTAATCTTTGTTGTAAGCTTCACTCTAACCTTAACCATAAACCTACTACTCTAAGGCGTAACCCTGAATGAGGAAGAAACTTGCAGCGAAGATTATGAAAAGCATCCGTTTGTAATTCTGAGCGATCTGAGTGGTTGGTTCAAGGTCATTCGACTTTGGTGTCTATTCTTTATTGTTGCCATATACATATATGCCATTCATAGCCCAGTAATTAGTCAGCGCCATATAATCTGTTAGCTTACAGGATTTCACCATGAGCTGACGTCAGTTAGCGAACCATTGGGAACCCGCCAGGGGGCCCTCGTCCTAGTGTTTAGGACTCTAGCAGTACACAATCACCACTAAGGGTTCGGAAACCAGAGCCTTCTGGTTACAAAGTGACCTCGTACAGCATTAAACAGCCACTGGGACCCATGAGTCCAATGATCAATCCATGAATTCCAACTTCTGCGAATTCACGATATATTGTGCTATTGATGACGAGTCCCAATGTAGGATGAAGCAGCTGTCCCTGCTACGCTTCAATCCGTGATCAAACTTCAAATGAAAATAATGACAAGTGTATTCTGGAGAAAATGTCCACTCAATGTGCAAAATTCTCAGCGTAATTTATTGCGTAACATTTTCTTTTCAATCAAGATCTCCAAAAGTATAAAACAGCAATTTGTAGTATATCATCAGATGACACATTACTATTCGACTTGAAGCATAAACTGAATGTATCGTGTCAGCTTTCCTTCATCTCTGAGAAATGCTTACCGGTAGGTTGAAAGCCAATTAAAACTGTGCACGAGTACATACACAGTTTATGACTCAAAAGCACAACTGTGAGTGGATAAAACAATATGATTCAAAGAGAGTATATAATGCATTGCTGTCATATGACAATTCAGACACAGAGATAGAGAGCCCAGTGATTCAAACAGACCACAACCAGATGATACAGAATACTTTAGATGCTAAAGTATACTTTAAAATCTACACACGTACGATTATTTCCAGTGAAGAAAGAAGGAAGGAAGCGTTAACGTCAAATCCCTTTTTGAACATGAAGTAAATAAACGCAGATGATTCATTTAAATGTGTGTGTGTGTGCCTGAGCACGGACGAAAGAGAGATACATAAAAAACAACAACAAAGGACTAGACACATCACACTAATTACTGACTAGCGTCCAATTAAAGTATCTAATACAGTCAATCTTACAGGAGGTCAATTGCCAGTCTGAATAGCTCCTCACAGGTAACCTCTCACCTCTCTGACTCAAGTACTGGGTAACGCGGGTTCAAATCTCAAGAGGGACATGAGCTCTTTCAAGGTCTCAGATACGCCTTACTGACTGACTGGTGAGTGCCAACTAGCAAGAAACCTAGGTGAAGTAAGACTTCCTGTGGCCGATTGCCTTCAACACCATCTAACACCAACAATTCAAAGTGCACCGTGATGGGGAGCCAACTGGTGTGTGACATGGTGGCCACATTTCAAACCTGACTGACTGACTGGTAGAATTCAGTCTGTACTATAAACATCACGCTAGTTACTAGTCTCCAATGAAAGTAAAAGCATACACCCACAAATAATAAAAGCATAACTTACAGAAATATCAAAAGCGAAACATTCAAAATCTGGTATTTTATCGCCTGGAAGACTTGGTAAATTTAATTTAGTTAACAGTTCTTTATTTTTGTCTTCTGCGCCATTATTATTATTATCGGTATTAGTAGTAATATCTCCAGTATTATTATCATTATATAATTCTTTAGTACATCCATTAAAATTCAATAGACGGTTGAATGACTCCACTTCAATGTAGGGTGTTTTCACAGACTTCTGTTGACGGACATCATCATCTTCACTAAAGTCTTTCACCACTTTCAAACCTTTACGTTTAACATTACTAGGAAAGAAGGGGAAGGAGAAATAATAATTAAAATAGGAGATGTAATATTCCGCATACATAAACAGGATTAAAATTCACTTGTGTTTTTTGTTCTATTTATAAGCAGAATTATGTGTGAACAAGTGAAAGGTCCTTTTGCTTATTTAGAGTTACCTTTGACTTGAAATGACGCATCAAAGATAGGTAGAACTTCGCTTCAGGTGAACATAGAGAAAACAGAGGTGATGAAGATTCCTGGCCAACAGCAACAGCAACAACAACAGACAACAACTAGCCAGCGTAAATCGGAGAAATCTGAAAGAAGCAACATCCTTTACCACCTACCTACCTGGGAAGCATCGTTTCAACTACAGGCGGAGGGAACAAAAGAGGATATCAAAGCGAGGATCATCGAGAAAGCAAGACAAGCTTTCGTTACTCTCAAGTCTGTGTGGAAATCAACAGCACTACTCAGCATGAACGAATAAGATACGAATTTTCAACTCCAATGGGAAGTCAGTGCTACTCACTATACGGATCAGAGACTTGGAGCGTCACGAATACTGCACTTCGAACAAACTACACACCTTCATCAACAGATGTCTTCGCTCAATACTTCGCTCAAGATCAGGTGGCTGACCAGAAGAGATCAGCAACAGGGATGTCTGGGAGCAAACCAACCAGGAGCCGATTGTGAAACAAATATGCAGAAGGAAATGAAGATGGATTGGCCATACTCTGAGAAAACAAACCATCAAGTGACACCACACGCCAAGCCATCACTCGAGTAGAACCCCAATGGAAAGCGGTGAGTTGGTCGTCAGTCAGATGGTGACATGGAGGAGGAGGTCGTGAGAAGAGGAGATGAAAGCACGTGGGCAGGCGTGAAGCCAGGTGAAAACGTTGGCGGAGAACTGAAAGCAATGGAGACGTGCGGTTGAAGCCCTATGTTCCTCTAGGAACTAAAGGAGACAATAATAATAATTGAATTGATATAACTTCTCAAAACACCTGCTTGGTGTCGTGTGTGTCTATCAGGTATATTTAAACGCTAAGCTAATCAAACAATCTGATCCCATTAACGAAGAATTCATTGGTGCATTTTCGAGAGGAAAAAAAGGGACATCACATTAAAGGGATAGCATGGTTTGAGTAATTCTCAATCTCAAAGCCCCTTATAGGACACTTTATAGAACAGAAAGTGAATGTTTTCGAGGGATTTAGAATAATTTAACAGACGAAAACAGTTCAAATCTTTTTAAGTTTGTTGAGGCGATTGCAATTGCATATAACTTGACAGTGAGCCCATTTGAATTATTTCTACTAATCAGCCTTATCTAGTATACTTCTTCATGTATTTATTATCTAAACACTCATTTTGAGAATTTTTTCTATGTAGTTGGACATTTAAACTTAAATATTTTATGGACAGAAAAGATTTCCGAAACTTTAATTCAATCTCTAGTCTTTTTAATTGGACACTAAGTCAGTAATTAGTGCAATGTGTCTGGTCCTACCATTCGTGGAAACTGAATTCTATCAGTCAAGGTTGCAACGTGGTGGCTCAAGATCACGATCCAATGCACGCTGAATTGTTGATATTAGATAGTTGGAGGCAACCGGCCACAGGAAGCCTTGCTTCACATGGGTTTCATGCTAGCGTGGCGGCCACATTGCAAACTTGACTGAGAGAATTCAGTCTGCATCAAAGATGGGACTCGACACATTACACTAATCACTGACTAGTGTCTAATTAAAGTATCCAATACAATCAGTCCTATAGGAGGTCAACTACCAGCCTCAATAGCTTCTCAGTGGTAACGTCTCTGACTGAAGTACTGGGTAACGCGGGTTCGAATCTCAGAAGGGACATGAGTTCTTTCAAGGTCGCAGATACGCCTTGCTGACTGACTGGTGAGTGCCAACTAGCACGAAACCTAGGTGAAGCAAGGCTTCCTGTCATCGATTGCCTCCAACTGTCTAATATCAACAGTTTCCAATATTATTAGGCTACCTTAAAAGGCGATACAACTTAGAACCTGGTGAGATAACATAAGAGTAACTTAAAACTTAAAATGCATGACACTATGAAGTTAAGGTACTTTCAAAGATAAACAACAACTTGTAAACGACTGTCACAGTACAGAAATACGTCGCGAAGATTTATAGTTTCATTCCTTTATGTTCTGAATGGAACTATAAGGTGCCTTCAAGTTTTCGATAACTGTGATGTTGTCTTTATTGGGGTTAGGGTTACTCACCTCGCGCTCAATCTTTCTACTTTTCCAACCTTACTCAATAAGCTAGAAAACTAGGTGACGTTTAAGAGGAATGCATTGGCTGGGAATCGAACCCTGTGAATTTTAAATCTAATTATATTCACGATACAATGAAGAAACGCTTTTCAAATCTAATTTAGTCATCATTATCATTGTAGATTAGTTTAGTGTAAGTGCGGAACTTGGCCACTGTGGTAGAATGTAATTCTATATTAGATGAGTTTATTTTAAATATCACACAGTGATGATGCAGTATTAACAACTGGATGACAAGGTCTCGAGCATAAATTATTACCACTCATAATTATATGAATTTTAGTCACACAGTTTCACAACTTGTCTTATATATACTTTCATTCTATTTCATCTCTCTAACTTCCCTTTGTTATTGGTTGTCACTTTCCACATCTCCGGTATAGGCGTTACGCCAATCCGATTATAGGTGTACAGTGTTGAATCGATAAACAAAGCTTCAGTGATTAACCTCCCTGTCTCTCCACATAATTGTATTACTTTTTAATACTCTCACCATGTCCCACCCCACGCATTCTGCAATTACATGCAAGTGAATGCAGTGCAGTGCAATGCAATGGCTGAGCTTTTTTCTAGATTGTTAAACTTAGTACGGTCAATTACTCTGGGTCTAGCTAGATTTTTATGTTCCAATAGTCTAGTTGACCCCGATCCACCAATAGTTTGATGGCCTATGTAATTGATCTCACTCACAGTCGTCACATAGTACCTAGTAAATTATATTAATTTCCTTAATTGGACCTATCAGGCCCTTTAGTTGACAAAGTTTATCTCCGAGAGAGGCGGTTTCGTTTAAATACCACCCTAATTCCAGCCTCATAGAAAATTCTGCGTAAGGCCTCTGATGTTCCTTCTTTATACGACAATACTTAGTAGGCTTGAATTCTACAACGGATATATGGAAAGTGGCAACAAACAACACAGACAGTAAGAGAGAAAATATCTCTATAAGACGAATTGTGAAGCTGTTTAACTAACAATGATATGACTCTGTGCGGCGATAATTTATGCACAAAAACCTTGTCATCCAATTGTTAATACTGTATCACTCACTGTGTGATGCTTAAGATAAACTTATTTAATTTATGGAATAAATAACCTTTGACCTTTAATAAAAACCAGTAGACAACTTATTTCAACAATGAACAATGTAACGGTGAGCAATACACATCAAACAAACCCACATGTGTATGCGGGTGTATAAAACAAGATGAAGCAATTCGATTACATAACATTCACGAAATTTGTTCCAAAATAAATGTTATTTTAACTTTAATTTAAAAGTGAGTAATTTTCAGTTTGCATTAGGCTACATGTGCAAAACAAATACGGAGAACAACAAAGAATTACGCAAGATTTAAAGCTACTGGGTTAGAATCCCGCAAAAGAGAATCTATATAGATTTTGTCTCTTTAATCAGCGGTTTATCAAAATCAAGAAAAACACAACCTTGGACTCTAATTAGACTCGACTTTCACAGTTGATTCTGTACACATATAGCAATGACTCTGAGTGGTGTGTCGGTCGGTAGACATATCATCAGCATCGAAGATTTGTTATATCTCACCTCTTCACAGCCTGCCTCAACTCCCTGACTGACTAAAACTTCTATCCACCCACATACATCGTGTTTACTCCACTTCATTTCGTACTATTCATACAATTATGTAGAGATTGTGTGCTTCGGTGGCATAGCTGTTAGGATGCTCTCCGACCATGCACATGGTCCGGAGTTCGATCCCCGGCCGGTGCACTCCTTTACCTCGCTAAGCCAGAGCTAAAGCTGGTGAAGAAGAAAGGTTGAGAATGAGGCTAGCAACCCCATCCTGTAAAATAAACACTGCTACAGAAACTTCAAGCCACTAGCTTGAAGCCCTATGTTCCACTGGGAACGTGAAGGGAAAAAAAATACAATTATGTCTAAGAATCGTGATGTATACTCAGACATATTTCCGAATAGATTTTAGACCTATTCCTACGAAATTTCTGACGATAATGAGGGAGAAAACAGTGTGGAATATTGGAGTATTTCAGTTGGACACTAGTCAGAAACTAGTGTAATGTGTATCTAGTCCTCTCTTTGATGCAGACTCAATTCTGTCAGTCAAGTTTGCAAAGTGGTTATCATGTAACTAGGTGGCTCGACATCCCGATACACACTGCACTGTGAATTATTGATATTAGATGGTCGGAGGCAACTGGTTGCAGGAAGTCTTACTTCACCTAGGTTTCGTGCTAGTCGACACTCACCACTCAGTCACAAAGGAGTATCTGCAACGCTAACTGCAGAACTAAATGATGCGGGCTCGAATTTCAGACACGACATGATTTCTTTCAAGACATTAGTCAGTCATTCTGAAGTAGGCCTGTAACAGTCCTCCATTATAGATATGATTTTATTTTGATAAATCACAAAGTGTTATACAGTCATATTAACTGATGACGTTTCGAGCACAAACTATTGCCGCTCATAATCATATCAAGTTACTCAAACAACTGTTTCCATCATTTATATGCATGTATATATAATGGAGTTATACTCTACCACAGTGCTCAAGTTTTATATCAGTAACAGTCCTGTTAGTTAAAAGTGCTAACGACGGGCTGCGTCTTCTGTATAACTTGATTGAAATCCATGGCTTTAATTTCATATCATATTTTGTCTATTGTATGTATCACACAGTGAAACAGCATTATTATTTACTG